ACTGCCCAAAACTTGCGTTTGAATCATCAGTGGCAAATCTTTTAAATGAAAACGTACTACTGTGAGTCAGAACTGCCGGCATTGTAGTCTACTCTTCCAGGATCAGTTCTGGAACAGTGTTGTAAATACAACTTAAACACTGATTTGTAGTCATGTCCTCTTTTGGAAAACCAAACAAAGTAGTTTCGCTTTCACAACGAAACACAGGCAGCCTAGCGTGAGCGGAAGCCGCGGCCTAGCGTGAGCAGAGGCGCGGGCTTGAGAACGGCGCGGCCGGCAGATTCGACGAAGGAGCGGCAACCACATGTGACGACCCCGGACTGGACTCCGCTTCGTCCACGGTGAAAGCCGATCCGGTGATCCACAGCACTAAGTTGATGTATTCCCTCAGCGCCCAGCACAGATCAGCTCTAGGCATGACGAAGCGGATATCGTCCTCTTTTGGAAGACCAAACAAAGTAGTTTCGCTTTCACAACGAAAAACACAGCGGCCTAGCGTGAGCGGAAGCCCCGGCTTAGCGTGAGCTGAGGCCGGGCAAGAGTGAGCTGAGGCGGCGGGGTCGAGAGGAAAAATTGAAATAGCATCATATGACCCCTTTAACTTCAACTATTGATATAACAATTAATGTTTTCATTGCTGGCCTGTTTAGCTGAATGAGATCCTAACTGAGCCCACTGCCACTCCATTTGTGTTCAAAGATGTCAATTTCACGTAAGATTTCAACTTTTATTAGAACAGAAATGTCCATTGATTCTAAGACATCTAGTTTAAATGTGGTTAGATCAGAAGTAAAGGAAGTAGCACATTGAGATCTTTTTGAAGGGTTCATTTGCATCATTGTACATTTTAATTTATCCACAGGGGTAATTCCACCACTATTCAGGCTGATGTACACTACGTTTTCTCAGAAAGCGACATCCAGAAACCCAGTTCCTTTCTCTATGCACTCATTGTGGTTAATAATGGTATGTTCTTCTGCACAGAAATGTCACTATTATTAGTTTTATAATTATTTTAGATTTTTTTGTCTTAATTATTTTACAACTTGTCATCTACAGAGACTATTACCACAACTACACCTGCTGCAACAAGAACCACCTTGTATTCCACAGTGCTGAGCACTACAATCACAAATAACAGCACTAGTGCAGCATGGGTTGTGGCCATCATTGTCCCCTGTGCTATTGCCATCATCCTCATACCTTGCTGGATTCTCCTTTGTGTAAGTTGCATAAAGATTTAACAACAAATATGATATGCATTTGATAATAATCATTTACCCGCAACCTATGAATGTCACGAAGGTTAATTCCAGTCTAACTAGACTCTCTCTCTGTCCTCAGTGTTTGCTCTGTGGTTGCTGTGCAGCATTAAGAAGACGGTGGTCCAGAAGACGGTCATACAATGTACAATACACCACTCGAAACAGCCTTTTCTAGAGAACTCGAGACACATCAGGAACATTTTCTAACAGTAATGACTAATTACTTATATTACTAATCCAAATTGTGATGGTGGTACTTTAAAGTTTACATTTAACTTTCCATAATGATTATGCTATCTTAGAGCTTTTATAATACACTATTTATTTTCTTGTGCCTGTATTGCTGGACAGACAGGGTCTTAAATTGTGATTAATTTATTTTCAGAATTGTTTAATGGATGAAAAAAATGTATTTACTATTTCTGTAAGGTTTACAATATTTATGTTATAATATTTTTGGATTTCCAAATAATTAATTTATTTGACATTACACATTTCACTTTAAGGGGCAATGTTGGTAATGTTAAACTTATTCACACTTTATGCACTTTAGTTCCATGTAACTCAAAGAAAAAATCATCACACAAACAGCCTATTTAACCTTTTTAAATCATAACTATATAAATAAATTTAAGACCAAATGTGTATATATAACCAAATGACTATCAATGATCGAACAGAACTCTGTGTAACACCATGCATACTATATGATATAAATAAAAACTGTACCATGTTGAAAAATACACAAATTCTATTTATTTTGAATGTTGTAAGTAACCCAAATTTTATTTAAATATTCATTTTTAAGCTTTGTGGTTATATTTAAATATATTTAACAATATTGAATTACTTAAATCTTGTCAAATTCAATAGATTATTGTTATTGTTATTTTAATTTTAGTAGTTCTTTAGTTTTTGTAACAAAACAAGAAATAGGAATAGGCTTTGGAATGCTTCTTGAAACAGTCAATCCAGGCTATCAGCGGTCAAATATGGTTCTTAATGATGGCGCTACATTCATGTACCTCCTGTCACACCAAGGACACACTCTTGTTTCATACAAAGGCAGTTGGCGCTCTCTTGCTGCTCATGGATTGTAATGAAAATCACCTTAGGACTTCAGTATTAGTGTTATTTCCATATTGTTCCAGTGTTGGTGCTAGGTCAGTTGATTTGTACATTATACATTTTCACAAATAAATTAGTTATAAATCAGTATTATAAATAATTTAACTCAAATCAATATTTCATGTACATAATTTGGTCAGTAGCAGTGTAATAAGCGGAATCCAGTAACAGTCATGAACGTACAGCCAGTTTTTAAAGGGGTCATATGATGCGATTTCAAGTTTTCCTTTCTCTTTGGAGTGTTACAAGCTGTTTGTGAATAGATAAGATCCCTAAAGTTGCAAAGACTAAAGTCTCAAACCCAAAGAGATATTCTTTATGAAAGCTAAGACTGGTCCATGCCCTCCTAAAACACCTCGTTTAAACACGCCCCCACAACCGGACGCTCCTTCGTCGAATCCGCCGGCCGCGCCGTTCTGAAGCCCGCCCAGCTCTGCTCACTCAAGCCGGCCTCCGCATACTCTAGTCCGCAGCTCACTCAAGGCCGCGGTGTGTGACGCTGTTTCATTGTGAAAGCAATAATGTGTTTTTTAACCTTAAACCGCATAAACACATTTCATTACACCAAATGCACAAAATAATGTTCTTTTTAGCAACATCATATGACCCCTTTAATGTAAAATAAACCCAGACAGGGCCATGATATCTATTTGTACATGCATTCACATTCATAGCCCCAATACAAAAACTGTAAGATAAAAACATAAATAAAAGTTAAATAAATGAAAATAAAAGCTGAGTATTTGTTGTCACAGTCACTGTCGTCCTAATTTGAAGTTGCAGACAAAGTAACAAACTGGTGAAATACATTAATACAACAACAGACAGAAACTAGATTTTTTTTTTTTTTTTTTTAAGTTCAAGACTTACTTTAGGTTGGCTTGAGAAAGCAGCCTGAAGGTTTGGATTTTTTTGAAAGAGTTTTAAAGATTTAAAGTTTAGAGAGAGAGAGAGAGATTATCAGATGATAGGCTAGATATATAAGATGTGGTTTGAAGCAGTTTTAAATTTAAAGTATGAAAGCTCAAAGTTGGAAGGTTCTAAGATTTTCAGACACATATGCAGCAGCTGTGTTCAGGCTGGTTCTGAATGGTTGCAATGGTTTTGCTAGGTTTCTGCTTTGAACACATGCCTATGTGCAGTTCTTCAAAGTAACTACTTCACTATTGTTTACATGCATTAATATGAAAGATAATAAGCAAATTACATGTAATAACTTAATACTTAAAAAAACTAACGTCTCTAGGTTACGTATGTAACCATGGTTCCCCGAGGGAACGAGACGCTGCGTCGAGATTCGCTTTGGGAACGCCCCTGCGTGACCGCGTTCAGAAGCACGTGTAAAATCAGTCCAATGGAGCAGCGAGACGTCACGAGCGGGGTGACGTGAGCGCCAGGAAGTATAAAAGCGCATCCGGCAGAGGAACACGTTCTATGGCCCCCTTCCTCAAGAGAGTATCTACTTCTTGTTCCATTACCAGAGCCTGCTCGGGGCCCACTAGTGTGGGAATGATCCCGTTGAAAAGAGGAGGACGAGAACCGAACTGGGTTCTGTAGCCTTTCTCTACAACCTGCAGGACCCATGTTGATATATTTGGCAGAAGTTCCCACGCTGCCAGAAAATCTACTAAGGGAACCAGCCTCTCGAGGCTGGCCTCTGGTTTTATTAGAGGAGCCAGTTCGGTGCCCTGAAGCGGATGACCGGCAGGGAACAACCGACCTGACTGCTGTAGCCTCTTCACTTGAGGGGGCGAGCTCTCCCGTGCCGTACCGTTGCCGG